CCACTTTCAGACCGCTCAAGTTTTTTTATAACGGATAGTTTTTAAAAAGAAAACGTTTATATAATAGAGAGGTTTTTTTTCTAAAAAATGATTACAATTTGTTCAGTCAAAATGCAATGAATCACCCCTCAAAGCGGTCCTTTTCCGATATACCATCGGTATAAATTTTGCTCATTGCGGCGCTCAGTCACACGTTGACCTATGATTGCGCATGCTCTTCGCTGACTCCGCCCCTGCGCTCAGACGCGTTTGTATGGCGAAGTGCGACGACGCCTTTCAGACAGCTGAAAAAAGGCGCAATTTTCAAATTATGCGATAGCGAGCGGCACGACCACACCACCTATCCATTTTTAAGCGGGGAGAAAAAGGCCAAGCTGTTCGCTACGCGGGCACCCATTTCCGCTTCGCGAAGCAATTGGCCTTGATGACACCCTTCAATCCGGTTCGGCTTGCAAATGCAGTCAACCGACACTGAAAAGTACAGAAGCCTTCAGGTTGCTGCCGAGATCAGTGTGGTGAAGTGCTCATGTCCTTCAAGATTTGCTAAAAGGCCAGAAAACAGTCTAGAACTCTCACCCCCAAGGCATAGAAAACAGCACTCCACCAACATCTGTCCGGATTGACTGGTATCACACGAAAGAGCCATAACTTCAGATCCTTCGTCAAAACTTAACGACACGCTAATACTTTATACACCCCTCACTCTTCGCAGACTAATGAGGGTTCCACGACAATTACTTTAACAAACACATCATCACATTATCACGAAATCTGCTAGCTCTCGAGACTATCTTCCCACATTTCCGTTCCTTTATACCACGTTGTACTCGTCATGTACATTTTTACTCACTAATTTATTGGTAGCTTCGTTATGGTTTGATGAAGAACGTCACTGAGAGGCTAAATTGTTGAATACGAAACCTGCGATACTTAAAATTTATGGAATAGAAAACAACAATGAATGACGATATTCTGTAAGAAAGGGATGCTCTCAGTTTTTAACGCTCAGAAGGGATCAATTTTAACGCTATTCAAATTTAGGAATTTAGGGATTCGGCCAATTAGAAACTAGTTTATTCACTTGATACGCCAAAAAAAATCAGCTTTATCACCTGAAATAACGATAAACCCGTTAAAAAATCCTCACAACTCAGGCATGACAAGATACTACGTGTTCTGAATGTGGACGGTGCGAATGAGAACCAACGAAGATTTTTCGAAAATGCTTCGTGTGACTATCAACTTTTACAGTAACGAAATTATGTCGACCATCTCGACTTTGTTAAATTCGACGGTGAATGAATTATTAAATCCGGGAAGAAACACTTTCAGATGGCAATATATATGTATGGATTGTACTTTGCTTTTTTTCCAAAATTTTCGGAAAATCTCTGAGTACACGAGAGGAATCCATTCAAAGTATTCAATATACAATTAGATAAATAACATTCGAACTAATAAATAAATTTACGACTAAATAATTGTGCACAATGAAAGTTGACTAAAGTTTTCTTTGCCATATATTTCAAAAGAAAGATTTTTTGGACGTTTTAGTCTCGGAACAAAAGATTTGTCGGAAATTTTGGAAAAAAAAGCGAAGTAAAATCCATACATATATTGCCATCTGAAAGTGTTTCCTCCGAAGTGTTTTTGCCATCTGAATTCTAAATTTTTTCGGCTGAAGAATACCTAAAGTAATTTACTCCAACGTTTATGCGACGTGCCCTTCGCACCGTTCTAAGTGCTGTTAGCACGGAACTGAATGTTCACATCCAGGGATGACGAGGTGTGCAATTACCCGACTTAACTACCAAAATTGATAAGAATGTCGCTGCACGGCGAAATGTACTTAACTAAAGTGCTTTCTTGATTCAGCAGCTTTTTCTCATTAAATTTTGCACGAATTCATCAAGTTTTCAAAAAGTTTATAAATCTCGGTGGAAATCAATATTGAAATGAAAATGCTGACTTCAGAATTGGAATCGATTGACATTTATCATCAACAGGTAAGCGTTTCAATGTTATGAGACATGACAGTTTCGTTGTGATCATAAAAGGTTTATATTTATACACAATTTCATCACTTTGCTGTGGCATTTCCAAAAACGAAACAAAAACAAAAATATTTTATGGGCATCTTTCCAAAAGTAATCAGTTCAAAGATTGACGATGATCAGCAAATTGGATGAACTAAATTTAATAGCACATCATTATAATTATGAACACTAACATTATTATTGGACTATTATTAAAAGTATCACATGAATATCTATGATTCACTTTAATCACCACTTGATGAAATCATTATTCTTAGCCACTGAACCTATCGCGTCAGTGATATTATCTAGATAGAATTTCATTAGCAGTGAAATGCGAAGTGTTCTTTATTAATCATTTCATCAATAGATCAAAGAAACACTAATATCAAACAACAACACTTCGAGAATACAACAAATCATATGAGACAGAAGACGATCATTGCAGTCGATCACTTTTAAGAACGGGAATATGTGAGAATCGTTGATTGGAAACCACTGATGATGTTGGCGTGAACATTAGCGATTGTTGTGGAGTGCTTGGCTGAGATCTGCTCTCCGTGCACACACTGTAAATAATCAGCGATTACATCCACTGAACTGAATTAATTCATCACTGCACGAATCTAATTCTACGAGTATTTAAGCAACTATACGATCCACTATTATTGTTATTTCTACTGCTGCAAGCTATCATACTGCACAGAAAATAAACACGGATCATAGCAAAACTTGATTATTCTATCGTTCGTTTTCGCCTATCAATACTGTGGAAAATCAATTCAATATACAAGTTAAAAGAATTATCCACCGAAAACGATTTGAAATCAAGTTATGGTGACTTCTCAACTTGCTCTTTTTTTAATCAACTGAGGGAGGAAATACTGCAGCGATGAACGGTTAATTTATCCGTTTGGATGACAATAAAGAAAGACTTTTTAAAACTAGAAGGGCTTTTTAATGAATCATTTTTTGATCTTTGATCTTCCCCAAATCATTCAATCTGAGGTTGTTCAAAGAAGGTTCAGTTAGGGGGTAATCATTTTTCAATCAATTTTCGTTGAAAATATGAAAAATCTACTTTCATGAGGACATGAGGCTCAAGTGAGACAAGAAGAAGGAGGGGAAGGGATACCTTTGTTGGGTAAAAGCAAACATAACGAAATGAGCGATGACAATTAAGGAAATACCATGAAAAACAAAATGAAATCAGTCCATTTATATGAACGGAGGGCGATTTGAAAATAAAACGAGAAAATAAAAGAAAGAACCGTGCGATGAAGACCTGCAGCAATATCAGCAGCATGCAGAAACTAGCAATACTAATTAAAAACAATAGCAGCATCAGCAGCTGAGATAATAGCAGCAGTACATTATCAAGTTGAAAATCAAACTTCTCGTAATCAGTCATACATATTGTACCATGGTGATGATACAGTATGCATTACTATGCGATATGATGATACATTATGTATCCATTCCATCCGGTTAAATTCTCAACAACCAGGAAAAAACATTCTTTTGTGCAGAACCGCTGCATTAATAAATATTCTATAAATAGACAGAGCCCTCTCTCGACTTCAAGCAGAATATTTTGTCAATCTTGAACTGATAATTGATCAAACAGAAGCAAGATTTTCAGGTGAGATATAAGCAGCTAAGTAGCAGTCGGTTTGTTATAATTACTGCTAAAACTAGCAATCACTATATCGCCATTCACAAATGAAACACAGAAAAAGTGTTGATTGATAGCAAAAGACCTAAAAACATTAACAGTAAGTCAAGAAGAGAGTAGATAAAGAAGAACTGAAACAGTTACAAATATTTATATGTTAGCGGTAACCGATAAGTTTGATGCATTAAGTGAATTGAGATACTTTCGAGGAATCAGTACAATCATAATAATAATTATTATCGCAATTAATAATAATAACAGTGATGAATATAACAATGATGAATGAAAAAGAAACTACAGATAACTGTAAAACAATCAGTTAATCAGTTGAAGACGTTTTTGACGAACTCAATCGGACTTTGAATAGATAGCAGATGCGTTTATTGAATCGATATGACCTGCTCAAAAAAGGACTACTTTTATTGGTTATTCCTAATCAACTGAATAGAGTTTACATGAATGTTTGTATGCTACTGAACTAATAAGTCAGCTATTGATACGCACAGTAACATGAAAATTGCTATGAAGTAATAGATTCTTTGTTGCAATTGCTTCATTGAGTAACTTTCAATGAATTTTAGCATCTTGCACAAACAATTCATCGCGATTATTGTGCTCTAATTGCCGCAGCAATAATAACCACCAGAACATTTTATGGCAGTCGGTCAGGTAGTATTTATTTATTTACATTAGTCTATCTCACCTTTGAGGTGAACGTTCTTCATTGATTGTCGACGGTGTCTGTGAGTTAGATGTACTGCCGGTGGACGTGGTTGTATCATAAAAACTCATTGAATTTGAATGTTGTTCATTAGTACTTTTTGATGATGTCGACGACGATTTACGTTTGGATGATGCGACTCCTCCAGTTGCAACTGCACTACAAGTGTTAGCAGCAGATGGATGATCGTTGACTGCTGTTGACGTGATGAGTCGCGGTGCACCAAAATCGCATATTATTGAACCCGATTTCGTGTTTCGTCGTTGTGTATGTGCAGATTTGAAGTAAACTAAACAAGAACAAACAACGCACAACCTCTACGTATCGATGGTGGATAATAAATGTTGATTAAACGCAATCTAACAAGCTCAAACCAATACATTAACACCAGCATCAGCAGCAGATGCAATTTCATCTCTTACTCGATCGCTACAATGAGCAATCGATGCTTAAGCCGTCCTTCAATTATCAACAAACGGATGGATGGATGGAGGTTTCGTGGGAAAGCGCGTTCGACAACATCTTTTAGTCGCCTTACCTTAATTTGGTTTGTCTCGGCAAACTATCGTTTGCTATTATTATAATAATCCTAACACCTGTACAGCAGAAATTTATCGCGATAAAATGCTCATTTGTAAATGGAACGGAATAAGCTGGAAAAAAAGAGAATAGGCGAGGAAGTAGCGTAATGTTCTTTGCTATCAATGAATGAGGGTTACTGTTTGAAATTTGTTTGATAAGCGAAGCAAAGCAACGAACAAAAAAAGGAATGAAAACACCAAAGACGATTATCTACAATTTAAAAAATACACAACATGCTGTTGGTTGAAAGCAATTCGATTCATTGAAAGTTGCATAATTCTATTCGAAAAGCTGCTTACTGCACTCATTCGTTATCGCAAAAATGATACCGATAACAACTATTCTTCTGATAATTATGTTCATGGGGAAAATGATAATGCACGTTCCATGATACGTAAAATTAAATGGTACGGATGTTCTATTCAAACAAGAACAATAACATTTTTCTCAAAATAATTATCATCATCAATGATGATAAAATTACTACTGATATCAGTATTGTAGAACAACACAATAATATTAATATGGTATCCAGGAGATATTATTTCAAAAATAAATCCGTGCAAAAACAAAGAAAAAATCGACGTTTTCGAAATACTTCTGTGATGGTCTCGAATAAACATGATCAAGAAGAAGAAATGCTACCTGCAGTGGTTGGATTCCCCCTTGGAGTGTTACGAAGTGATACTACTGTTGCATTAGGCTGTGATAAGTGACGCACATCACCACTTGATCGTAACGTATATGGTTCAATACCAGGACTCGTTTCTACTCGATCCTGACAAAAACAAACCAATTAATTCCTATTCGAAGGTGATCTATCGACTTAAAAACAAATCGATCATATGAGCATTCTTTTTTTCTTCGACTCAATGATTGTTTTTTAACGAATTCAACCGCAAACAACAGCTAGGCTACCAAAACGTTAAACAAAAAAATTGGTGGCATTTTTACGTTTCTCAAATGCTACAAAAAGAATGATAATTTTTGTGACGTGATACTGGAGCAGTGGTTCTCATAGGGGTGAAATTACCCATTTTGGGTAAATTAGAGGTGTGAAGGAGTAATGAAGGGGGTCGAAAAATTAGTTTTTCGTGCAGTTGTTGCGCTATGATAGAACGTCATAGTGATGGTGTTTTTTAACTCGCATATGTAAATGCAGTTAGTTGATGGCAACACTCTTCATTTCTCCATTTTCTGAGTATCATCAGCATGTACGGGCCTAACAGGGTTTTCATTTGCCTTAACAGAGTTTTCATTCTTTTCCTTGCTGCTACAACCGCTCTCATAGCTTTTATCACCAAAAGTGTTCTCTTTTGCTCATTTCTCATTCATTTCACTCAACAATTAAAGTCAAATTCTCATTCCATCAAATACACTCTGTAATTGATAATTTGACTGTCGAACGTAGCTGAGCAATTCAATTTAATTGCTGCATTGTTGATTTCGGCTGTCAACACTCGTCAACGTATTCAGTAAATAGTATATGCTACAGAATAAGAAATTGATTCGAGCTGTGAAGTGAAGTGATACGAAGTGAATGAGAAAAACTCATCAAGAGAACAATGTTCACATGGAACAGCTATGAGAGTGAATACAACACGTCTGAAAAGAATGAGAATTCATCTAAATCAGTTAGTTTGAAGTGAGCGTGTCATAGACAATAGCTTTTCATACAATAATGGCGTTATGAGCAACACCACGGTCTACGACAGCGGTTCTCATAGAGAGTGAAATTACCAGTTTTGGGTAATTTGGAGGTGTCGGGAGTTTAGTATTTCATGTAGTCGTTAGTTATAATAGAACACCATTATGATGAGGTATTTTTCACTGGGAAATCTAAACGCGGCTCGTTGATGGAAACACTTATCTTTATCCTATTTTCTATGTATTTCTAGCTCTCCCGGGCCTGAGCAAAAGTCAGTTTGAAGTAGTTATAATTATTTCTCAAGTTCTTGAATACACTGGGTGATACCGTTTCTCATGAACAGTAAGAATTGATTGAACTCTTCGGTATGACAGAAGAGATCATTGCATCAGGAGGAAGGGGTAACGGCGACCTGCCAGATCATCAAAAGGGGTAATGGAGCACCCGAACGTGAGAACCACTGTGCCAGATGAAAGTTACTGAAATGTTGATGAAATTAGATCCAGTAATGGTTACCGTTTGACTTCTGACGTGCGGTAGAGCGGTTGTGCCAGTATTAGAATCCGTATCTGAGCAAGCACTGCTAACGCTCGAATCTGATAACCGCCGCGGCCGAACCATCATTGCGGCTTGCTGGGCTCTGTCAGCTCTGAGCAAAAATCATCGTTTGAATCAAATAAGCAATTCTTTTTTTCGTTCAAATGCCTATTTCTTCGAAATTTGAACTATCCGAATCATATAAAAGAACAATGGACTTACTTCAAATTATCGATCGATGAGCAAACTCTGCTAACAGATTTAATGACTTCGAAAGTTATTTCAATTGATGTGAACAACTAAGAAATAAGAACAACCTTTGTTGAGAATTTTGAAGAATTGCCGACAAATGATCAACAAGTCGCCTAAAACGGCGCACAGGACCGGCGAGGAGGGTGAATTGTACCACATACATGGGCGCTTCGCCTGCGGATATAGCGGCATGAGGCGATACCACTATATCAACCTGTGTAAAATAATGCATCTGTGTGTTAATATCAGTGATACTGATCACTTTACGATTCGATCATAATGAATAACGGAACGGACAGTATTGCCTACCTGCATCTTTACACCACGCGAAAAAACACTGCCACCAACCGTAGGACCACGCTTATATTCTACCCGGAACGAATTTTGGCCAACCACTGAATGACTTAGTTCATGGATCTGAAAGAAACTAATAACTTTTTGATTTACTGCTCATTGCGATTGCTTTTTGGCATATCGCTAAAATGGAAGCGAGAGTAATCATGTGAAGAGAGTAAATCAAGTCGAACGAAAAGTAATCATGTGAAGGAGAACCGTAAGAAAAGCACGAATGAGTTCAGCTTTAATGCCGTTGAGGGATTTGCCTTGAACTGGCACGCAATGTGAATCGTCACGTTCAACACTCATACTTGACGTTAACGATCCAAACCATGATTTCTTTACCAGACTAAAATCATAAATCAAAATATCCCATTTATCAATGTATCATCACCAAAGGGAATTGACATTCTGTAAAAGATTTCAAAACAGAATTAATTCATAACGAAATGAACAAAATTCTTTTCGAAATCAGATCTGTTGAATGTTGATGAATGAATCAATCTACCAACAAAGCAGAACAGAAGGGAATGACAACTAATGCTGACTCGGATGTATCGAGCATTTGACTGTCTTCAGAATCACTTTCAGCGCAACCACTTGTATTGCTCATTTTCCTTCGATGGAAACGGGGTGTTCCAAGGAATGAATTCTTGATATTGGATAACTTCGAACGCCACGGTCCAGACGACCCACCACCAGCCGTACCAGTGCCACCGAGTATGTTTACGTTTCCTGAACCATCATTTGTTCATCTCTCAACAACTAGAATCGAACCATCAAACCAATCATCACTTCGCTCACATTCCAAATAAAGTGATTGCTGATTTGTTTTATTCATGAACTTCACTTCACTGAAAGAGGGAACAAAATTAACGGTGAAAATGACAACAAACCGGCGACAAGGCTATTCGTCGAGGACGTTGTAGAACCCATGCCAGGTGAGCTGACCGCCGAGTCAGCAATTTGGTTCGTTGGCGTTCGAATATGATGCGAACTACTTTGTGATGAGGCCTGCAGTGAGTATTTGATTTAACAATAGCTGTTTAGTCGCTATTCCAATATTTCACCGAATAACCGTTCTGTTATTATTATTGCTATTGTTGTTACCATACTGTCATAATTTTGTTTTGCGCTCGCACAATTATTATATTATCAATATGTTGATTGATACTTGGTTACTGGCTCCAAAATGGACACCAGTATTCACAAGTTGAAGAAAGGAAATGTAATCTCAAAAAGGCTATTAAACCTGTTTATGATGCTCCCTAGACGCTCGTAGGTGCCTAGCTGCCGCGGCGAGTGTTTCGGCATCAACTGGCTGTGTATAATAATGATAATTGTTCGCTCGAGTGCCTGACCTGAAAATAAACAGTAATCAGTTGATGTTGAAATGGAGATAACAGAAGTAGTAAAATGTACGGCAATGCTGCTGAACAAAACAATAAAACCTTGAGCGTTCATCATTCGACGGTGTTGGCATAGATGAGGTGTTATTGGCTTGACGAGCAGTTGCGATGAGTGCATTCGTGGAAGAATTCATTGAAGCGAATGGTTCTCGAGGTGATGATCTTGGCGATCCATTTGGCGACCCACCCAGAGAACTATGTCGTCCCCTACTATATCGCCTGTAATATTTGATTGCTTTTATTATTACTATTAACACTAGGAAGAAACACTTCTATTTGCCGTAGTTCTTAACGAACGAAGATGAAAAAGACTGTATATGAATAGCACTTTCAAATCTGAGTCATTAGGATGAGTTATTTTTTCAATTCTTCATGTTAAAAAAACAGCACATGGATTCATTCATTCATTTCCGTTGCAATTTTCATTTCCACAAATTCAGCGACCAAAATTCAAAGATTCGTAACGAGTCTTCTTTCCTCTGTGGGTGGTCAGTCCCCTTGCTCATAACTAATCTTTCTGAAAGCACTAATTTGCCGTACACTTGATTCTTTCCGGATTTTTTCTGATGTGGAACATGTTATCTGACGCATTGCAATGATCAACAATCGGTGATCAACAATAAATAACATCAAAAATATGAACAACTAGCCCGTATGTTTTCCTTGGATTGATCGGAGAGCCTTCACTTATTGATCCAACTGGATAGCGAGTTGGCCTTGCTGAATCTAATCTTTTCCTTGGTGGATCCAGTGTATGATTGGCACCTCGTAAAACGACCTATAAAAAAAGTACACTGCCTAACCATGTGATTCCATCAAATCATCCGAAATCCATGGAATGTTTTTTGCTCAAATGAAAATTTTGAATACACTCAAAAGGATTAGAATACATCTGAGAAGATGCAGAACGTGGAAAGCACCTCAGTTTCATCTTCATGTGCAGGTCGCCTCCTTTTACGATCGAGCAGCAGGAAGTAGACCATTTTCTCGGTATTATGCCTAGAAACTCAGTCGTATCAGCAGTCGGCGATGATCGCAAAAGAAATAACGACGATATGGTAGACTTGGCGGAATTGGATCGTTTTTAATGGTAAGTTTAACACAACAACTTCTTTCATTAGTATCTTTCCAGAGAGAACGAGACCTTGTACAATCGTATATCAGTTCCATTATAAGGTATGGTAGTTGCATTGATGAGATAAATTTTTCGAGAGATGTTCGAGTAATTTAGCGCGAACGGCTTTTCCTCAAGTCTTATTGATCTGTTACTTTGAAGAGCAAAAATAGTGAAGTTGGGATTGCGATTCGAGAAATTATCAATTAGACGTGAGATACTTAAATGTCGATTGCTAAACGATCAACACCTGGGTGAGAGGAGTTCCCTGACGAGTTTTTCTTTGTCTTTAAAGCAGCCCAAATTCGTCATATGGCGAAACACATCTGGATCGATGTTCTCTTCATTCGGTATCACATGAGTCTGAAAACGCGAAAACTAATAGCGATTGATTTTATTAACAAAAGAAAAATTTCCAGTATCATTTGCTATAGATGAGAGAGGTAGCTATCCAGCTGCGTAAAAAAATGCGATAACAATGTATCACTCACCTGTACTACTTGGGCCATTGGAAGTTCGAGTTCTGGCTCACCTTTCGAATTGCCAGCTACCCATGGATGTCTGAAAACGTCGGCCAGCTGAAAAGAACCACATAAATTTTGTCAGTGTTGTTGCAGAATGCGTAATCCTATGCTGTTATTAGCAAGAAAAATCGCCAATAACAGCATAAGTTCTTCGTATAGAAGCCAAAAATAACCCTGAAATCACTTACCGAATACCTTTTCTGAGGATCAACTTCGATCATTGACCTTAAAAGATTTTGACAATCGGCTGGAACAAAATGCGGTATATGGAAAACACCTTTTTTCACTTTTTCCAACAGATTACGCAAATTATCATCGTCGAACGGTAAAGCACCCTGAATTGACGAATTTGAATAACGTGTAAAAAAGTACGACAATAAACGCCTCACAGTAACAATAAGAGTAGTCTAACTACTTACAACGAGTAATGCGTACAAAATAACTCCACATGACCATACGTCCGCTTTCCTGCCATCGTACTTTTCACCCTTAATTGGAAAACATTTAGACTTTCATTGAGTTTCATTCAGGATAACGTTTCACTGTAAGAATCATCATTTTCTTGAAGTGCTGCATTGAATCATGAGCATTTGAAGAAGAAGGAAAGTTTTCATTTCATTGGAAGAGAATCTGAGCTGCTGAATATTGCTCGCATCAATTCAGCGAACACTCACTCGTATAACTTCTGGACACGCGTAATGAGGAGATCCACAGCTAGTTTCCAGCATAGACCCTTCAACTTGCAACGAAGCCATACCGAAGTCGGCAACCTAAAAAGCAGTATCCGTTCAAGAATTATGTAAGTGAAACACGCTTATGACAACTACGTATATCTGATGAAGGGAATCAAACACCGTGTGAACACTTGTGCTGGGGCGGGACGACATTTGTGTAAATCGATGCTGAGCCAGCTGGGTTGGTCCTGAGATTAGGATACGCAAAAAGGTCGAGTTTGGCTTATAGAAATACAGAGCGGAACTCGCATATTATTCGATAACTTGATAAATTCACTTCCTCATTAGTTTCCTCATTAATTATGATATTTCAGTTCACCCCAGATGACGTGTTGGTTTCATGTTTTCATTTGTGCTTGAACCATTCCTCTCAAAATAACGTTGAATTAAATTAAATAAGTCTTCTTTTATTGAGAAAACAACATCGTCGTTATTCAGACCCATTCTCTATAGATAGCTTCCGTGTTATCGCTTACTAATACAAAATTCATGATATTGCTCATTATTATAAATTCTGTGGTATGAACGAAATACGTATTCTTCTGACACATATCGCTGTTTTAACCGTAAAGTAATCTGTTATTAATATTATATATTCTGCAACATTGTCAGAATCAATGCTAGAACTCACTATTATTAATTGGTCATGTTATGCTGATATTCCCTTTCACATGAATTCTATTGCTATTCAGAATCGTGAGGTTGGAGCTCGCGCCTTGAAAAAATAAGGACCCGAATCGGTGACATCGTGTTTATGAAATTCCACACAACGGGTTGGGGTCAAAGTTTGATCTTGTGAGATCCTGACTGTGCGTCATCTATCAGACAAGTCCATGCAATGAAATTATGGAGGAGTGGACGGTATGCAAGGAATTGGGATAAGTCCTATTCCATGTACCCTCAGTGAAGTGTTAAACAAGGCCAATGTTCACCACAATGAATCGAGTCAACAAACAATTAATTCTACTAATGGCACACAACCGAAAACCGAATGGCTCGGATGCGTCGAGATCAACTGCACTGCCGTACTCACATATGAAGCATTAAGATACAGAAAAAACAATAGCGAATAAAACCACCTACTTTAATGTTATTCCTTTCATCCAGTAATAAATTCTCAGGCTTCAAATCACGATGGCTGAAGCAGAGAATAATTAATTGTAAATTTTGTGCATAATTCGAAATCCCTATTACTCAAAAATTGAAATACTGACGTGCCAAATTGACGATGGTTTAAATTTATATGATATTCTTACAACAATAGATGATAAAGGACAGTTATTCGTGGGGTGAAAATTGTTTGTGTTGGATTATAAAAAAGTTAACAAAATACCAGATATTATGCGCATGACAGAAATCGAGTGCGGAAATGATCTGACGAAAGAATTTTCGTGCTTCTTTGGCCATTAAACGACCTTTTCGCACCAAATAATCGAACAATTCACCACCGCTAACATGTTCCAACAATAAATATCTGCAAGTTACTGATCAATCTCTTCATACAACAAATAATTTGAAGCTTCTATGGGACTTCTTCCTCAAAATTGTCAACATTTGGGCTGGAACGGTGTCAGATAGTGGTGAATGGAAAACTGTCCGGAGGTTGAGCTTAAGAATGGATGTAATGTTGAGGCCGAGCATGAATTTGAGCCTTGGCGATGAAGTGAGGAGAAGCTGAATCTGGGCGCAGGCTAGTTCTAACTGCTGATTCACTGACATTTCGTTTGTTAATCCCTTCTATGATCATTTGCATCTTGTTCTTAGAACCGATCAATTTCTATCTGAGTTGATAATTGGAGAGAAATGAACTACGTGGAACCAATTTTAAATGATCAATGTTGGAGAATGATTATCAATTACAAATATGTTCGTACATATTTCATTTGATTAGCAATGAGCGTGATTATGATAATCATGAATTATGAATAAAAACAAATGAAACGTACAAATATTTCTTGTTTTCATAAACATCGTACAGATGCAAAACGTGTGGATGCTCAATTAATTTCATTATTGCAATCTCTCGTTCCACCTGAAATTGAATTTGTCTTGATTACTGCTCGTGATTTTATTACTACTCACTCGGTCGTTATCAGACTCCGATGACATTCACCTGGAAAGTTTTCCTTTCACGTACCACTACCCATAATTTTGAACCAAAACAAAACTGAGTCCTTGTTATCTTCCTCTCTCATGCACTTCACTTCCCATTAGAGCAGTGGTTCTCAATCTTTTTTTGCGCCGTGGACCCCCTAAAAAATTTTAAGATGTCTTCGTACTCGCTACCTTACCTCGCATGCCCTCCCGCACTCCTCACTCACACCTTCTCATCGCACCCAGTCCCGCACTCTCTCTCTCACTCACCCTCTCTCGAATCCCCTAGCATGCCGCCTCGGATCCTCAGAGGGTCCATGGATCCCAGAGTGAGAAACCCCGCATTCAAGGAAGTAAAATGCATGAGAGAGGAAGATAACAAGGAATCAGTTTCGCATTTCAAGTACTCCATCGAAATCGTTTTCCTAGGACAGTTGTGAAATTGTTAAGCGATGATCAATGAAACAAATCTATTCCTTGCACTGCATTTTTTGCTTAACTATTTAATGTATGAATGAGTGGATAATCCGATGAGAACGGATATACTCCAAATCTCTGCGGCGATCAACCGAGAGAAAATTTTCAATGAATGATGCGAATCAACGAAGCAGTTGAGCAACCACAACAAGACAATAATCAGAATTGATATGTATTTTCTCAATAGCTGTTATACGACTTATTGCATTGTCATAAGGTGTAGGTGAAGACAAGTGGGATATGACGAACGCACCTTCTGTAATACAGATTCGCTAAGTTTCTCTTTATTAACAATTTTAATGGCCACTTTTCTGCCCGTTATGCAGTGTGTTCCCGTTTTGACGAGACCTGAAAAATGATTCATTTGTGAATAGCAAAAAGAAAATTGATTGTCAAACAACAACGACCATCTCAATTCAGTCTTGAATGTTTGCTTCTTCTTAAATTTTTCGCTAGCATCATTTTACTCTTTGATGCAGCATTTTTTGCAACTTTTCCATTCGTTCACATCCCATCAAAAACATATATTGCAAGGCATGAATTGCTGCTGACGACTGTCTCACTCATTCATGCACTGTTATCAGAATGATTGACTGTAAAAAGATTTACGTAAAAAATGATAGCAAAAATGTTGATAAGGAGTGCTTATTTAACCACAGCGTTCCTTTCTTATTACGTAGCTCTAATGTTCTCCTTCACGTTGTATTGCTTTTTCCCATCTGCATTTCATTGCTTTATCTGATTCATGCTTCAGCACTTCATCGGAAGTCCTTTTTTTCTGAGTTGAATCTGTTATTGCACTTCACTTCTACCGTTGTATTTCAAGAATTTTTTCTTTGCAAAATTTTTCGATGCAAAGATGTTTTAAACAAATACTGTTTTACATATCTTTCAATGCTGAGTTGCACTATACTCATCGTTTTACAGTTCATATTTCGTTGACTGGTGTGATGGATGTGAAATAAATTTGATATTATTCCATGCTCATTTATGACACTTTTGGTGTGATGATGGTAAGACTAAAGTTCGGTAAATGCTGCAATTCCTAATGATGTATCGAGATCAGAAACGATGATAAAATTGAAATGGATTGGGGATAAGAACGGTAATAAGGAAATCAACTCCAAAGTGAAATAATGGAACAAATCAGAGAAAATGAATATGAAAATATGAATGAGAAAAACCAACGAAATTCACAAACCTACGCAACGTAAATAAGTGCCTTAAAGCGAGTAATAAAAACCTTATTTATTATCTTTGGCAACAGAAAAAAAAATTAAACCATTATCTACAACAAATTTCATCATTTAAAAGAGACTTTCATGAATAATCACTTGATAACAAAAAATGAATATTCTTATCTCTACAAGAAAATAGACACTGAAGGTTATTAGCGAAAAGAATTGATTGATCGATTGATGCTGGCACTGACCTATACAATCAGCAATTGACAAGTTGACTATGTGCATAGATAGGCGGTGTTTGTTTGTCAGTGTAACTGATTATAGATACATATCTTAAGCAGCGCAATAGAGCACAATTACAATATTGCAAGTATAATGCAAACGGGAAAGAACTGTTAGCGATTGATTCATTCGTTGATGCTCTCATTGATTTATTGCATTCGATTTAATTTTTCTTCAATTCCGAATTAGTATCATCACAATTACGTCGTCTTCAGTTGTGCTTTGCTCCTTATTAATATTCGCCAGTGTTTGATCAGTTTTGTTCGAATTTTTGTACGCGTGTCAACCAATAATTATCACAAGGGTTCCCGTTAACATGCGTGCACAATGATAATTTCATCAGTATTTAGTTATGTATAATAGAATATCACAGCCTAATGACTGCATTCTTTTCTTTCGTATTGTTATCATAACTGCATCTCAAATTTTCCTTATTATTATCATATCATTGATTCAGCAAACAGTCCCATTAAAACTGCTATCGCGCTAAACTTATCGAAAGCATTCTTTTCTGATGACCGGTTGATCGAACAATATCGGCCAAATGCGCGGTTCTGACGTTATTTCAGTAGTCTGATCGTTTAAAATCACAATTCATTAGCACTATAACGATTGTATGATAGTTTCATCAGATATGCATGGTTGCATTGAATAGACTTAAATGAAGCAATATGTAAACGGATGAATATTTTACTGGCATGTACGCATGTTTATTCTTCGCGAATTATTAAGGTAAAGATTTTCATTTGTCGTTTAAACACCACATTCCTGCACAAAAGTGGTTGGAAATTTCATTTGTCTTACTAACAGACTTTCGTATTCCTCGCAACGTTAGAAATATTACGCATATAATGTCGACTTATTTTCGTTCGTCAACGGAAATTATTTCAAGAATTCGTACCAGCTAAATAGAAATTATTCGTTTCTTGAAACATTAGTAGATAAAGGTATCAAAGAGAGGAATTAATCCAACATAGAATGGTGATAGTTGAAGTGCAAAGAGGTTTTATTAGCATCATATTACGATTGAAACTGCTCTTGCTGCCATTTTCAGCCATCAGTTGCAACTTTTGTTTCGTTTTTGTCATTCTTTCGTTTTACACAATGAACGCTCATTTATTTATTTGTCCTTCATTAGTCTGTGCCGTAAGTCGATTAGTCTAGCAAGGCGATGCAATTAAGCATTTCGTATTGTACTGCTAGCACATGCGTGCTGCGTTCTATGAGACTGGCTCAGCAACACTCTTCACCTCACCCAATTTTTTCTTCAAAAAATGTTCGTCATACTAAGAGAAATCATGAGGAATACGTGTAAATGGGATCATTGGATGGGCGAACATACGTAAGCTGTGATTGTTTGCCAAATAATATAGGGAATATTCTTCAGGGAGGACTTTTGGTGAGCCCATTTTCTAATTCAATGGGACTAGCATTGAACACTTATCAAAGTGCAAACAGTATTTCAGATTTTATTGGCACGCACTGCTTAATATTTAACGGGAATCAAGGAGATAGCAACTGTTATCTACACCGAATAAAGGAAGCACTAGCAGATCGAAGACGTTTCACTAATCGATGTCACGTCAAAAAAGTGTTCATTTCACTTGGAGCACTTTATAGTATTTTAGGATGCATAGAACAAATACTTGAACTTATAAGTGAGTATGTATTAGGCTTATACGCATGCATCCATGTAGGTGAGATAAGTTACTAGAGTAATTAGTTGGGTCAATCGATTGCAGCTGAATGTCGAGAGTGAATCCGTTTGCTTTTCTGAAGCAACCATTGCAATTTGTTTGACACTGACGCTTCTTTCCTTATATTTACGTACTCATAAAGCATTATTGTGGAGCCTCTTCTCGTTTGACATACAATGAATTTATATATGGCATGCATCTATCCATTTTTTCG